TTCCAAGACTTTGTTTGCTATCCGAATTGTTCGTTAACCAATTATTGATTTACCATATGATTTTATGGGAATTTGATTAATTTGTTCTATAGACCCCAAAAAATAAAAAATATATACTTTCTTACTATGTTTATTTATATGCAATAATAAAAATACATACATACACAGTCTTGCATTTTTATTAGTCATTGTTTTTTTCCGTTTGAAATGGTTAAAGAATCTGTCTAATGTCGATTGCTTTTCCCTCTTCTTCAGGATTTTTCGTAAGTAATTAATAGCATTGCAATTGTAGAAATCCTCAAGCCTCAACCTGGTTTAGATGCCATTCTAAGACCGTTGTTCTGACATCCTCCCACTTCTTCAAACGATCTTTAATAACAGATATCGGCATTAATCCTCTTTTTCAGAAGAAAACATACCTTGTTGAGATTCTTGGTGTTCTTCATTCAATAGTTCTTAGCGTTCTTCTATCGTCAGATCCGTTTCGGGTTCCATTATGAAATCTTCGATGTTCTTTATTTCTCAGATTTGATTTTTGTTACTCCTTTAGCTGCTTGAGTCTTCTGGATTATACAGTATTTTTATTAAATAAGATTGAACTGCAGCCTACTGTAGACCTGTTAAAGCCACACTGCCCAGCAACATTAGGCATCTTCTGCCCACTCTCCACCTTTGCTATTATACTCTCACCTTTTGAAAAGAAAAACAGATGCAAAACTTAAATTAACGAGTGCCTACCTGACAGTCTAACGAATACATAAAAGAATTATTTTGTCAGAAAAATAAAAGGCTGGAATTACAAGGGAGAGTTTCAAAGTTTGGAGGAATACTATCTGATTGGTGTATACCGGCTTGAGCGTTGATGTCGACGTTTCCCTCACTCCGAAAAGTTTGAAATTGTTTCCCGAAGACATGGGAAGACCAATCGGTATCCATTATTTTACATCGCTTTTTCTTGTGTTTGTTCTGTGAGGTGTTCGTTATCCGATCATGTGTTCGTTGTTTGAACATAAAAATCTTTCGTCAAAGTGTTTGTTATCCAATCTGTTTGTTAACTGATCACCCACTGTACTGGCAATAGCAAATGGTGATAAAAATCCTGGTCTGTTTGTTTCAAAATTCAGCATGAAATGGAGTCACAAATCACACTTTGGGAAAACCAGCAAAATGTTCAGCTTCCATACAATGGTAGTCTTATGCATTGCATACTTGGAATTTCATGGTGTCATGCGGAAAGTTAGGGCAGAAAAGTAAGAAGTGATGTTGAGAACCAAAGGCAGTTTTGTGCATGCTGCCAAGGCTTTCCAGAGTGGGGTGTTTTTATCAACTGACAGATTTTGGGGAAGTTTTTGGGATAACATTTTTTTTACTTTGATCTTTTTCAGTAGACTAAAATAAAATTTTTGACATGGCAGAACCTGTGAAATACTGTTAAACATTGTTATCAAATGTGTTATTTGGAAGTATTTATTAAATAAATCAGCTTGTTGCTGGTTTATTTAATGAATAATTCCAAATAACACATTCAATCACATGTTACTCAACTTTTCTGGCAACATTTAAAACTACTTGTGTGGTGCTCTCTGTTATGATATTTTATTTTATAAACTTCTTATATTTTTAACTATTATAAAATGGAAAAAAAGCTTAGTTTTGAAGGTAGGGATGAGTTTTATAAAAAAAAAATGTAAATGCTAATAACAAGTAAAATCGTCATTAAGTTCTACCCTACATGAGATACACGTGATCTGCATTATCTCCTACCACCTCAACCTTTAATCACCAAAATTTAATAGCATAAATCACTCTAATAAACAAACCTCCCTGCAAAATTTCAGAAATTTTTTACAAAAAGCATGGACGTTGTTATTAAGCTTTGTTGTTATTATTATTATGATTTTGGTGTGATTGAAGGAGTTAATCAATTTGGCAAGTGAAAAACACAGTAACATCAAATTCAGTTTTCACATAGTGTTTTTCATTATAGAGAAACTTTATTGTTGTACATTTTTTATTAAAGATTTTTCACAGAAATGAATAATAACTGTTCTGTTACTGTTACAGTGGTTCCTCTTATCATTTTCTTTAAATTGATTATTTAGTAACATAAATTATGTCTTCTTTGTCAGTTGTATTTGAGGTCCCATCATGTCAATTTGTTCTTCAATTTTTATGAGAATCATTTGTAATAGGTAGAGTGAAAAAAATTATTTTTAGTTTTGTCCATCTTGATATAACAGCATAACTTGTTTTTCTAAAAACAGTTGCCACCAAAATTAAAACAATTACTCAATATTTCACAAGTATACTTACTTCTGTGGCAGTTGAACTGTAACTAACTAATTTCTTTTACTTACTGTTTGTGATGAGATAATATTAAATAATTTACCGTTATCTACAGGGTATTGGTCAGCACACACTGTGATTGCAAATGCTGCAGTGTATGCTGGCAGATTTATATTACAGTATGGAGTTAGATTGTCTTCTGATATAAATAAAAATTCTTTTGATGGCCAATAAAATTTTGTCATAAGTGGTATTAGTTCTTATTAATAGGGGAACTTATTATAAATATAAAAAGTTATGAGTATATCAAGTGCTTTGACACTAAAATTTAAAAACTTTGAAATGTGGAGTTAATTGATTTGGCTTGTGAATGGCTCATATAACAGCCAGAAAAGTAAAAAAAACTAAACTAAAATTCCAGAGGTTCAAATTTACATTGACTAGCTTCAGTGCCTTTCATCTTATTCACTTGGCTATCACTGCTCTTGAACATGAAACTTCCAAAGTCTTATAAGCTGAACACTAGTTTTCAGAGGTAATTTTTTTATAAATGTTTAAAAAGTGTGTCCTATTATTTGGACAAAGAGCTGTTTTGTGTTTAAGTTTTGTTTGAATCAGAGACTCAAATGTCTGTTTTCTCCTTGTAAGTGACAGTTTAACATGTTACTTTTGCTTTTTAGATGCCAAACTAATAAGGTTATCAGCAGTAAGTAATTATTAAGTAATTTACTTAATAATTACTTACTAATTAGTAAGTAAAACTGGAGGCAATAAACAATTTGAAGTGATGAAAAAAATGTAAAACTGGCAAAATTGTGGCAATATTTTAAAATTTTCTAGTGTGACCCCTAACTTGTTCTTGTTTTACAGTTAAGAAGGGCTATCCTTTTAGCTAGGACTTTGCCCTGTAAGAATATGAAAGAAGAGTTTAGGAAAGTTGATGATTAGGAGGAAGAGGAAATAAAGATAGGACAGTGTGAAATAAGAAATAGCCCAGAGCCCCTCCACGAGATCCCATGGGTGCTGCCTTGCATTTATTAAAATCAGAAAACAATTACATTTGAACGTATGTACATATATACGAGGCGTTAACAATGTTTATACTCCATCATTGGGAGAGCCGCTCGGTGGATCAAGAGCCTTATTTTCCTTAATTAATTAATAAATTTGATGATGGCTTTCATCAAATTTTTGTTGTTGATGAAATTGTGCTTACCGGGAGGCCAACTGAAACCTTCCTTGAAACAAGTCCCCATCAGTTTTAGTCTTTGGTCTCTGTATTTGGTACAATTGTAGATCAGATGTTTTACGGTGTCTTCAGAATTTATGTCGACGTCGCACTTGTTGGAGTTCTTCTTCCTGAAGCGTTCTAAGTAGGCATTGAACGCCCTGTGTCCAGTGAGACATTGTGTGAGTAGCTTGGATAGAAACTTTTGTTTTTTTATGTCATCTGTCGATTGAAGGAATAAATTTGTAGTATTGTCTTCCGGTGTTTGACTTGTCCCATTCCCTTTGCCATAGGATCCTGATTTCTTGTCTTATATAGCAGTGCACATAATTAACTGGGAAACGATTATATGTATTGTTTGAGTTCATCCTTGCTTTTTTCGCCAATCTGTCAGCAAGTTCGTTGCCTCTATAGCCACTGTGACTTGGTATCCATTGGAACAAGATTTCAAATTGCTGTCCTAGGTCACGGGCAAGAGCAATTAGATCCGCTGCGAGTGCCAAGCTGTTTTTCATTGTTTTGAGAATATATAAGGTGACCTTGCTGTCTGTGAAAATGGTTATCTTTTTTGGCGTTTTCAGAGTTAGTTGTTTTATGTATGAGATGGCCTTATAGATCGCCCATAACTCGGCTTGGGTTATAGTGCATTCATTTGCCAGCCTGAAAGCTGCCTGATACATTGTTGTTTTCCCTTTTTTGATTATGAGTCCAGATCCTACTTCCTGGTCGTCCTTTGATCCGTCCATGTATATTGTTATTAGCTGCTCGTTTTCCTGATTTGTGGTATTATCGTATTCCAGCAGGACTTTGTATAGGAACCTCATCCTGGGATTGATCGGTAAATCTTTGTTTTTTAATTTATGGTCTATCTTTTGAATGAAACGAGACATGTTCTTTGTATTGTCTGGTGGCAGGTTGCCCTTTTTCTGTAATTGTTCTATATCAGACTCTGATATATCAGCGAAATTCTTATTATAAAACGTCCATTCCCAGGTTATCTGTTTTCCTTTTAGATGTATAGGCGTAAGGTTTGAAATGACTAATAGGGCATCTGTTGTTGATGTTTGATATGCTCTACAAATCCTAATAGCTGATTTCCTCTGAATTGATAATAGCTTCCTTTTTACGTGAACTCTATCTTCAGCTGCATTCCAGATCTGAACTCCATAGAGCATTGCAGGTTCTATAGCCTGTAAGTAAATTGTTTTGGTATGCTTTGTGTGAAGACTCCAAGTATTTCTAGGTATGCTGATTAGCTGGTTGGATCTTTATGTGGCTTTGTTGCAGACATAGTTGACATGATGTTGCCAATTTAGGGTCCTATTGAACACAATACCCAGGTATTTCATTTGTTGCACAATCTTTATCCCTTTCCCATGTATTTTCACTCCAATTGCTCTTTTCAATTGACTTCTTTTATTCTTTCTGGTTATCACGGTAGCCTCGTATTTCTCGTAGTTTATTGGTAATCTGTGTTTATTGCTCCATGTCCCAATTTTAGCTAGTGTGTTATTTGCAATTTCTGTCACCCAATCACAATTTTTGTGTGCGACCATAATCAGGGTGTTGTCTGCGTATGCCTGTATTCTTAATTCCTCCGTGTCCTCTTGTTGCTCTAGGAGTTCGTCCAAGACCAAATTCCAAACACCTGGTCCTCATCTATATCTTTGCTGGCACCCTTTTGTTACTTCTACTTCCACTTCGATGATGTTGGTATATAAGTCTGCCGTTCTTTTAGATAAATAATTTTTCATTAGAATTTAATAAAGTAAAAAATGCATTACAAATACTAGTCGTATCTTGCTTGTTTGCCATGTCCAATCACCTGGAACAACCATTCTTCACTGCAGAGATGACTTTTCTTTGTAGGCTACAGCCCTATTTTACAAGAAAATGTTATAATTTTAATTGTGTTGGGATTGTCACCTGTGGACATTTTAGACTATTTTACATATTTGTGCAGAGCTGTAGCCTACAAAGGAAGGTCATCTCTGCAGTGAAGAATGGTTGTTCCAGGTGATTGGTCATGGCAAGCAAGCAAGATACGACTAGTATTTGTAATGCAATTTTTACTTTATTAAATTGTAATTTCTGCCAGCCCTATTTTACAAAAAAAAATTTTTCATTAGGTTTGTTATGTTGCTTGGACATTTTGTTTTTATTAGCCGGTTTATTACACTTGGCCACCATAAATTATCAAAAGCCTTTCTGAAATCAATCCTAATGAGCATGACATGTCGACCTTGTTCCCATGATTTATGTATAAAATCTGTAACTTTTAAGATTGCATGAATCGTTGAAGTCCCAGGTTTAAACCCGTATTGTTTGTAGCTGCTTTTCTTGGTGGTATTTAGGTACCAATTAATTCTTTTAATGATCAACTTGTCCAGCACCTTCCCCAAGACTGGGAGAAGGCTAATTGGGCGGAAGTCTTCAGATTTGCTGGCATTCTGAATTTTCGGAATCAATTTGATATTTGCTTTTTTCCACGCAGCTGGAAAAAATCCTGTCCTCAGACATTCATTGTATAGGTGTACAATTGCCATGGGTATTGCTTTAAAAGCATTTTTTACCGTTTCTGCAGTTAGATTGTCCAAGCCTGGAGATTTTCTATTCGCTGTCGATAGTATGGCTTCTTGCACCTCTTGGAAAGTAAAAAGGCCATCCTGTATTTGCATAGATTGATGTTGTGTTGCGTTCCTCATTTCTTTATGTAAGTCCGAGTCTTTGGTTTTGTCATCGATAGGAAAGTGGAATTGTAAAATTCTTCTGGTGTTTTCTATAATACCCAATTCCATGTTATTCCCATTTCTTCTGATCAAATTGGGAACCTGACATTTTCTGTTTTTTTGTTGAAAATTACTTGATATGGCATGTTTCATGGATTCCTCTTCAGTTCTTTTTTGCAGAAATCCCCCCAGGCCTTTGTACGGGTGCTATTTATGGCTTTTTTGTATTCTTTTAGAGCCTTCCTGTATTCCTCCTTGTGATTATTTCTAAGTTCATCATCTCTGGCTCTGGTCATTTTCTTCCTCAACTTTTGGATGTTTTTCTGCTGTTCAGATTAGTTATTTGTCCACCAGATTGTTCTTTTTATGTCTGTTTTGATCATTCTTGTTGATAGCCCTTCTGCTTCCTGGATTGCTTTTGTGATATGTTCTGTATATTCATTCATGTCTTCTTCACTTCAATATCATGAAATCTGTATCTTTGCCAACGGTCAGCAAAGTATTTGGCAAACAGGTCCCAGTTTGTTTTCCTCGTATATCTGTAGTTCTCCGTTTTTTGGTCAGTTCTTGTCATTTCGGCATNTTAATATAAGAAGTTTTTCTGTATTTTGATTGATCATTTTTTAAAAAAATAAAAAGATTTTACAATAAATTAGATGCATTTGTTAGAGAAGCTATAGTATAAACTCACACTCTTTATGTACAATCTATTTGTATGTGATTTTGAAATAATGTGATTGACAAAGAAAACTAATTTTTTAATTTATTTTTTGAGGGGAAAAAATGTTTTATTTGAAAATTTTTAAATTTAACTTTTTGTTAAAATTATGTTGCTGTGTAAAAAACAGTTACTTTTTTTGTTGAAAGTTTGGTTTTAAAATTACGTGTTTCTCTAAGTCAAGAGTTCATTTTAAGCACAGTACAGTGCTATTCGTATATTAAAGAATACAGTTTGTTGATTTTATGCTACCTTGTATTTACTAGATTTACATACGAGTAATAATGATAAATGATGATAAAATCAAAAGATCATGTTTCGTTTATAAATTGCTTATTTTTTCATTACATTGAAGTTGTGGATTCTATCAAGTATTATTCTACAGGATGTATGTACTGTATTTTTTTAATATGGCAGTCTTTGAAACAAATCAACTGTGCAAAAAGAGGGATAGATGTACTCAATGTTTACAGTAAATAAAATGCTGTTTTATTATGTTGATATTCCACACTAAAAAATGTGAGGTCATGGAAATTCAGGGAATTAAAACAAAAATTTGAGTATGAACCCTGTAATACTGAATGTATTTTGTGGTATGAAAATTGCCCATAATTAATGAACCAAATTAGAACTGGTACAAACATACTAAGCATTTTACTTTATTATAATTATAATTTTCACTTCCATAATTTTCTCAGTTGTCAATAATTTAATTCTGAATAGAGTATTCTAATTAAATACTATTTTATTTACTTTCATACTAACCAACAGAATAGTGTATAGACTTTGTTATTATATTTAGTATATTTCTGACTCTGCACACATTTAATTACAAATTGAGGTTGATGCATACAGAAAACATGTTTATTTCCTTAGTTACACTTTGATAGTTGCTGTTATATTTTTATAAATATATTATTGTATGAATTCTTAAACTTTACCACACAAGAAAATGTCTAATTTCTATTTCTTAAGAACTAAGATTAAGCATTTATTATTTAAAAAGCTGGAGAAAAAAAAATTGGTAAATGTATAGAATTTGAGTAGATTGATTAGGGATATGAATGTAAATAAATTATTATTGTCATATGATCTACATTGAAATAATACCAGTATTTTTTTTTTCATCTAGTTTCTTAAACCTGCATAGTAGTCCTGCGGATTATGCATGGGGCACAGGAGGATTAGACGCAATTATTACACAGGTAAGCTATACAAGATGCTTTAATATATTTTTGCGATTTGTATGTAAAATTATTTTCAAATTCTAATAAAAATTATTTTAATTTTGTATTTATTCACAACTTGAAATGTATCTGCTAGTAATGCCATTTATCCTCTTACTATAAATATGCAGTTTTCATGCATTATAGTACAGTTAATAAAACATCACAATACCATTTACTCTGTCATTAAGAAAATATAATTTTCTATTTTCATTATAGACAACTGAACCTCACTCCATAACATCAGTATCAATCTGGATTATTGGTTTTGCATTTCAAGCACCAGACTTTTCCTCAATTATTTATATTAACGCAAATGTATTTTAGTCACAAAAAATAACTTTTGTCATTGTTTGGATGTAAAACCAGTGTAGTGGAGTCGATAAACAAATAATTTAACTGTGGCAAATTTGAAATGTGTGACTCTGACTGATTCTGACCTTCCTCTTTTTAAACTATCAGGCTATGATTCCTTTTATAAGTAAGACACCACTGAGTATCCAAATATTTTTATTTAAAATTTCTTTATAAAAAGTTATAATAAAATTTTTGATAAGAATAAAAAAAATGCACATTAGGGGTCATGCTGCATAGCAAAACACCAGATGATCTGTACAAACCTTGCGACATCAACCTGATTTCCCTGGAACCAACTGGAGCCTCGCAATTCAAACAGTTCGCATATTTTTGAACAGACCTTGTAAATATAAACCAGAAAATGTTGTTAACAGTGAGATGATCTAGACAGCAATATATTTCATCTCTGCAGTAGAAAAAAGATATTCAGAAGCAGCAGGCATTGAGGGCTGAAGAAAGAAGAAAACTTACACAACAACTTAAGGATTTAAAACAACACAAGAAAATGCTAAGAAAACTTCATGAAGAGGAAGAAAAAGAGATTGAAATGAAAATACACTTGAGGAGAAAAAGCTAAAACTACATTAATATGATAGTTTTTGTGTTTTGTGAATTGTAATTAATTTTTTATTTTCTAATTACAGTAGAACCTTGTAAACTTGGCCTAATGTGGACCGAAGGGTGTCCGAGTTTGTGAAAATGCTGGGTTATCGGGAATGGAGTTAAAAAAATAAGTACGAGTGTTTCCTCAGAAAATACTGTACTGTACTTGTATGTATTGTTTACTTGAGAATATAACAGAGAATAAACTGCCCAAATACCCCTAAACAAAGGAAAAGTACGTCCTTTATGAAGGCATAGAGCCTTTACTACGTGAAAATGAAAATTAATGAATACACAGTGTACAGTAATTTACCTGAAAAGACAGATCTCAGAAAAATACTTTATGAGATCTTTTATACTTTTATAAAGCTGTCTATAATGAAAATTAATTAACTAAGGATTTTTTTGCCCTGCCAGGGTGTGG